CGGGATGCCCAACACGTGGCCACATGTTGCAGTCATGGACCCCGACTTCATGACCTCCGCTGCACACGAAGAGTGCGATGGCCATTCGTGTGCATTGTGCGAACACGCAGCTTGTGCCAGTCCTGAGCAGGGGCTCAGGACGTGTCCAACGTGGTTGAACAGTGGTTCCCACGTTCTGATTCGTTCTGATGAGCAGCGGCCCTCGGATGATAATGATGTGGTTGAGTACTCGCGATTGAGCATGAGTTCCAGCGTGTGGTCAAGCGGGAACTCCCTGAAGAAGAGATGGAAGAAGTGGTTGAGCGTGGCCTTCCACAAGCGGTCGAGCGTGTGTTCGGCGAGTGGTCGAGCGGGAGATCTCTGTTGAAGTGGACGTACTCGCGTCGTGCGTCCCCCGTGTTCGCACTGGTGAAGTGTCCCGGTGCCCAAATTTTGCAGTCATGATCGAGCGTGGTCTCTTATCGTCCGCTGCCGTGGACGACACTCCACGCTCTGTTCGGCGCCGAGGCCACAGCAATCCCCGACGACCTCGTGTGCTTTCAAGCGACTCAGTTGGCACTGAGTCTGAGATCATCTCAGTTCTTGTGGAATCCTCGAGCACGTCGCGTGTGTGCGACATCGAGGTTGCACACCCTCCACGTGACGCAGCCGAGATCACGCAGTTGCCTGATCTCCCATGGAAGCATTTCCTGAGCGACTTGAAGAAGGGCGACATCGAGCAAGTGTGCATGCTCGTGCACAAAGCCACTGCGTGTGCCGCAGCGGTCGAAGTCGACGCCGATGACCCAGCGTCCGATACCGGGACTCGACCAAAAGGGGCCGAGCCGAAGAGCGCCCGTGAGGCGCGCTATGCTGCTCAATCGTTGCCGGCACTCGAGGCCTCCGGCAACCCCGTCGCTCCTCTCGTCCGGGAGTACATTGACATCTTCCCGGACAAGGTCCCACCCGTCCTCCCCCCTGATTGTGGGGTCCAGCACAAGATCGACCTCGTACCCGGTTCCAAGTACTGTGCGACGCGGCAGTGGCCGCTTCCCCGAGATCAAGTAGAGGCAATTGATGCCTTCTTCGAGAGTCGCCGGCAAGCCGGTCACGTACGCGAAAGTCTCTCTCCACATTCCAGTCCGACCTTCTGTGTGAAGAAGGCAACCGGCGGATGGCGGATCGTTCACGCCAATAATAAACTGAACGATGCCACCATTCCAGCCTAAACGTCAATTCCACGGACGGAGATGGTGCTCGACACCATGTCTGGCAGCACGAAGTACAGTGCCATAGATCTGATGGACGGGTTCTATCAGATCCCCATGCGTGAAGAAGACATGCCGTTGACCGCTGTCAGCACGCAGAGCGGGATGCTATGGGAATGGTTGGTGATGGCGCAGGGGCTTAAGAATGCCCCGGCCACTTTAAATAGGATGGTGTCAAACCTGCTACGTCCATACCGAGAGTTTGCGCCCAGCTATATATCTTCATCCACAGTCGTGTCGAGGACGGCATGACCGACGTCGAGGTACATCTGGATCATCTCCGCCAAGTGTTCGAGGTGATGCGGGAGAACAAGCTGTACGCCAACTTGAAGAAGTGTATCTTCTGTGCTCCCGAGATACCAGTGCTTGGGAGCTACGTCAGCAAGGAAGTTATACGCGCTGATCCTGAGAAGATTGAAGCCACCTGCGCTTGACCCGTGCCTCAGGACCAGAAGCAGCTCCGACAGTGGTTGGGGCTCGCGACGTATCTCCATCATTACTCGAAGAACTTCGCGCTGACCATCCAACCGCTGTCTCAACTGCTGAAAGCAGACGTCACGTGGTCGTGGCGCCCCGAGCACCAAACGGCCTTCGACGGTGAAGACGAGTTTGTAAACCGTGCCCGTCCTGATGCTTCCAGATCACTCGAAGCCCTTCCATGTTGTGTGCGATGCGAGTGACTTCGCGATCGGCTGCGCCTTGATGCAGTTTGACGACGAAGGACGCGAGCGAGTGGTGAGTTACCAATCGCGTCTATTGAAGCAGGCAGAACGGAATTGTCCGGTCCATGATACGGAGCTGCTTGCCATGCGCTACGCACTCATCAAGTTCCGCGTGTATCTCCTGGGTGAGAAAACCTTCACGATCTACACAGACCACGCGTCGCTGAGGACACCGACGAAGAGCCCTCACTTGTCCCAGCGCATGGCGCGCTGGCTGTCCCTGTTCTCCGAGTACAACTTCGTCGTCCATTACAAGCCGGGCAAGACAAACATCCTCGCCGACGCGTTATCGCGTCGGCCAGACTACGTGCGGTCAGGTCGCCACGCGAATGGCGATGAAGATGACGACGATTGTGCTGTGTGTGTCGCCGAAGGAGTAGCTGCGGTCGAGGTTGCTGCGACCAGTCCACTGCGCGACCTGATCTCGGCTGCGTACGGCTCGGATGCAGAGTGCGCCGAGATGTTGAAGTACCTGCGGGACCCGTCGAACATGGCGCGACGCCGACTGTCTTCGCGTAGCCGCGCCCGTGTCGATCGCTACGCCCTGGATGGCAACCTGCTGACATATTGCGTTGACCACTCGGATCCTCCACGCATCGTCCTCCCCCTGGGCGACGATCTTCGTGCTCGTTTAATACATGAGTTTCACGACATCCCGAGTGGTGGCCACCTTGGACGCGAGAAAACGTTCGCGTCGCTGTCCGGTGACTTCTACTGGCCGCATATGTATAAGTCGGTGCGGAAGTGGGTACGCTCGAGTGAAGCGTGCCAGCGTGTCAAGCCGTCTCCGTCGAATCAAGCGCCCCTTCGACCACTTCCCGTCGCGACAGACCCATGGTCCTCGGTGAGTATGGACTTTGCCTTCGGGCTGCCTCGCGATGCTCACGACCGCACTGGTGTTCTCGTCTTTGTTGACCGCTTCAGCAAGATGGTGC